ATCGCATTCTTAGGTGTTAGCTTTGCTTTTGCTGTTCTCCCCCATGTTGTTATTGTTATTTATCTTTTTATTTACCTCAGCAATGATCTCAGAATAGTTCTAGATCATTTGGTCTTGCAGGTATTGAACACGTACGAAAAAATCGTTTGAATTTCAGTTCGAGTTGAAAGAAATGCAACGACAGGAAGAAGAGGCAGCAAGAAGGCGTGGCCATCTCGGCAGTCCGTCGCGATCGCAGCCTCACGAATCGTTCGGCGCGGAACCCGACGGTATGATTCATCTTGTAGTGGTTCAGAAAGCTCTGAAATGGAGCAGTCTAATTCTTATTTATCACAAATCTCCTGAACTCCATGCTTTTCCTCCTTTAAACACCTTTTTGGATAAATTTCGGCCAGAATTATCCAAACTAGCATTGGCCAAGCACATGCATGATCTTCTGCTTCTATTGCTCTTCTACTTTGCTCTATATAGTGAATTTGCAACCTAGTGAAGTGACTGCATGAGCGTACAGTATGAAGCATAGGTCCTCCGAAAAGTCGTCCAGTTTTAGCAATGGTTTTGAGCGCAGCGGACGACTTTTTGGTTGACAAGCTTTGAATATAGTATTGTGAGAAATCTTGTGATGTGCCGTGAATTTGCAGACTTCAATATGACGTTGAGCAGTGTCGACAGCGGTGGAGCGCCACGAAGTAGCACATTGGGTTAGCTTCTTCACAATCAGCTATTTTGTTTCATTTTGTTTATGAAAGGAAGGGGTCAGTTGGGAGGAAGATCCGACCTTTTGCAGCTTAGTCCGAAGGGATCAGAAATAGGGCTCAATAGAATTCTACCTTTCTTTTCCTGATCTTCGAGAGCTTGACTAATCGCAACCAAATTAGTTCTTTTTCCTTTCTTAATACTAACCCAACATGTGGTCTAGCCATTAGTTCAAAGCTATCTATCCGGAAGCTGCGACCGCTCCAGATCGATCTCCTGATGGTTTTAATCAGAAGCGGTGCACGATAAAGTTGTAGTTCCGGATAGGAGACTTTCCGTATAGAGCCCTGGAACGCCCATGATCTAACTCTAACGAACACTTCAACCGTAGAAGAGCCATTGAGAACTTAACGGTGATCAGTGGCGATTGCCTGCGGGAATCTCACATCCCTTAGAGATTTTGCAGTTATTTTCCAAAATTATGGGTTCCTTTCCCAATTACCGCGTACATTATTAATCTAACAGCTCCGGTTCCTAATAACAAAATTTATTTTTGTAGAGTGCAATTGAGTGATTTTTGTTGTCGTTGTGTTGCTTGCTGTTGTTGTGTTGTGATAGTGCAGCCAGGTTGCAGAACGCAGTCGGCTGTCCACTGGTGAAAGTAGTGGTTGGCGAATGTCACTCGCTCGTGCCCCTAAGTTCGATTCAAAGGATCCGCGTGGTAAGTTAAACGGTCTACACGATCAGTTTGTGAAATTTCTTGTACAAAATGTCGTTAGTGCAATTTGTTGAGTTAGTCACGCCTCAAAGATGTGTGCTCTGAGTGTCTAGAGCTTTTGTAGTGGTAAAAACGTTCCACTCATCGGTTTTGTTTAGATTGAGTTCTCTCGTTTGTGTGTACCGAGAGAGCTACTTATTGATTGGTTTCGTTTGCTGTTTTCTAACTAATTCATTGAATTTCTACACAATTTTGCAAACTATTCTGCCCCTAGCCCTTAACAGGGCATAGGAAAGAAAAGTCGGTAAAGACGCAGACCCGTCAGGGTTGTACACATCATCTATCTGGGAAGGGGAATAGAATTCAAAACTTATTTTTATGTATATCAAAAATCTACTAGCGCTATCGCAAGACACGGGGGTATTGTGATGGCAGCAATCTGAAACCGCGTTGAATATGTCCTCTTTGTTGAAAACCTGGCTAAGTTTCTAGGCGGGAGAGAAAAGACTTCCAGGGTGAGTGAGCCATTTTCAATTTCCTCTTGAGCTGCTCTGTCCTCCTAGAGCTTAGACCTAGAGGATGCCTCCGCGCCCAAAAGTTTTCCAAGCCCTTTTTGGGGAGTATTTGACGCATTCTTAGAGTGTAGCTTTGGCTATTTGCCGTTCCCTCCCATGTTTATGGTATTTATTTCTTTTATACCCTCCAAGCGCCCGACTGTCACAGGTCGGTGCTACAGCAGTGTGCAAATATTTTGAATCGCGAAACAGTTGGCAGACAAGTGTCGTCCATTAATTTTGACAACATTTTTTGTCTTCCAGGCTGCAGAAAAATGCTCAGCTATTAACGAACGAGGTGGAGAACCACGAACCGTGGATTGAACGTATCTGCAGTAACGGACGTGAACTTATTGACGCTGGTTCGTTATTTATACCTCTTCGATTTTGATGTATTTTGCTTCTTTCAAGCTGCGATACTATCCAACTTCATTTAGTCTGGCAGCCAATATAAAATATAGCTCCCAACTCTTTTTTATACCATCGCGCTATTAGTAGGAATGAGTTTAGAATTTTTTTGTCTTTTATACAGCATTCACTGTCAGTTGAATTTCAAATGAGGAAATTTCATCGAAATCGGAGAAGTAAGAACTTCGAAAAGTCTTTCCTTGTATTTTGATGGAATCTTCTCACTTATTTTCAATCGAAATGTAGAGAAATTCATAAATGTTATAACAATCAGAGGAAGATTTTATGGGTTGTATGGTTGTGGTTTTTCATCGCAAGGCAAAAATCGTTGCTAAGGATAGCTTTTTCTAGGGCATGAAAACTCGGCCGCTTTCGAGCAACGCATCACCGAATTGCGTGATGCATGGCAAGAGCTAAAGGACGCAATCAAGGACAGAAAAGACAGGTAACAATCACCATCCTTCGTCTTCCCTTCCTTCCGTAACGCTTGTATATTGTCGTGATGTTCCTTTGTCGTAGACTTGCGGAAAGCGAGAAAGCGCATCAATTCCTGTACGACTGTGGAGAGGCTGAAGCTTGGATGAGCGAGCAAGAGCTGTACATGATGCAGGTAAGGCAAATTATATCCCAAAATCGTTTTCTCCCACTCCTCAGGTTTTTTCCTGATCAAGAGTTTAATTCCTTATTTTTCAAATCAGGAGGCTCATTTTTTTCTTCCTTGACTTATAACAATTGATGCGTGTTATGGAATAGATTCCAGTTATGCTAATTTTTTAGGATGAACGTGGTAAAGACGAATTCTCCACCCGGAACCAGATCAAGAAGCATGAGCGTCTACAATCTGACATTGACAAGTTTGCCGACACCATTCGGCAACTGGCTGCCAAGGCGCAGAAGTTTGTGGATGAACGAAGTCCGCTAAGGTAGATAAGAATTTGATTATTATTTCCAACTTTATGATTCTCAGGCCATTTTGATGGGTTTTGTCTATTTTTCGGAATCGAACCTGATTTTTAGTGACCAAATTGCCCTACGACAGTCTCAGATTGAGAAGCTCTATGCTGGTCTTCAAGACTTATCTAAGGAACGCCGAAAGAGATTGGACGAGACTCTAGAATTGTACGCACTTCATCGTGAGATCGATGATCTGCTTCAATGGATTGCAGACAAGGAGGTCGGTAGCGCGTGTAAATCGGTTTAAGCGGAATTCAAAATCATTGATTTGAAGGTGGTTGCTGGTAGCCAAGAGAACGGTCAAGACTACGAGCACGTACAAATGCTGCAAGAGCGATTCCAGCAATTCGCCCGGGACACAGAGAACATCGGATCGGAACGAGTAGCCCGTGCCAACGATGGTTGTGATGCGGTGAGTTCTGTATTTACTCATCAAACTTCGCAACATGTTTTCCGAAAATTTAATTTTGATATATGAGTTTACCCACCTCGTTTTGGAGTCATTCTTGTGTTCATAACAGAAGTGAACTTTGTGAGAAACCCGAGATTCTGAAACTTGACTGAAATGGAAATTTTAATTATCGATTCCGGATCATTTTGGAAAAGTTGTCCGTAAATTCTTACTGCAAATAATGTACTATCTTCTGGGAGGAATTAACTAAAAATTTCTGTTTGTAGTTGATTGCTGTTGGTCATACGGATGCTCCAACCATTGCTCTTTGGAAGGACAGCCTCAATGAGGCGTGGGAAAATCTCCTTGAGCTGATTGACACGCGTGCTCAAATGCTTGAGTCAAGTCGTCTGTTGCACAAGTGAGTTACCGTTAATTCATTAATGCAATAGTTCTGTAGTTATGTCCACCTTTGCTCAGATTCTTCCATGATTGCCGTGATTGTCTTTCGCGAATTCTTGAGAAGACTCACGCAATGCCCGAGGATTTGGGCAGAGACTCAAGCAGTGTCGGTGCACTGTCCAGGAAACACCAAAACTTCTTAAAGGATATTGATGCAATTGGAGAGCAGGTTAGAGAATTTCTGTGCAATATTCATCGTTTAGCGGTTTGAATACAGCTATCAGCAACTGAATTATATATTTTTGGCTTTTCCTTTCTTAGTCAGATCGATGTCCTTGAATGTGAACATGGTTAAGGTGGCTCAAATTGAGCGTGATGCCAGCGAACTCCGTGACGGATATGCTGGAGAACGAGCTCTGGAAATGTCAGCACGTGAATCGGAAGTTGTGAAGGCATGGAGACATCTTCGAGGATTGTGCGACGCACGAACATCTCGTCTAACCGATACATCAGACCTGTTCCGCTTCATGAATATGGTCCGGTGAGTAAATTATTATTTTAATTGAGCATTCAATCTTGCTCACACTTTTTATATTTTGCTGGAAAAATTTTGATATCGGAAACACTTTGGTCGATATTTCGTTCTGAGCCAAGTATTATGTGTCCCAGTCATCTTAACTTGGTTCTTTAGTGACCTTCTGTTGTGGATGGATGAAGTCAAACGAGAGATGACAAGTCAAGAACGACCAAAGGATGTTAGCGGTGTTGAGTTGTTGATGAACAATCACCAAAGTTTGAAGGTAAAGCTTGCAAGAAGCCCTAATTCTTCGATGCATTTGCGCTAGTAATTAAGAGTATTTATTGCCAGGCGGAGATCGATGCTCGAGAAGACAATTTCAACGCATGTATTTCACTTGGACGGGATTTGTTGAATCGTAAACATTATGCATCCAGTGAAATTGAGAAGAAATTAATAAAGTTGACAACGGAACGAGCAGAGATGATGCGACGATGGGAGGATCGATGGGAGTATTTGCAACTTAGTGAGTAAAGTTTTTGAACTTGCTAACTTTTTTGCCTAATAACAAATAGTTTCTTGTTTCTCAGTAAATAAAATAATGGCCTATTATTTCCAGTTCTCGAAGTCTATCAGTTTGCCCGAGATGCCGCTGTTGCGGAATCTTGGCTTATGGCACAAGAACCGTATCTCATATCACGCGAATATGGGCGAAGTTTGGAAGAGACGATAGCCCTCATCAAACGACACGAAGCCTTTGAAAAATCGGCGGCTGCACAAGAAGAACGATTCCTTGCTTTGGAAAAGCTGACAACGGTTAGTTCTTTTGATTATTGTTCGTTGCTGTGCACTTTTGTTTGGACATTGTCTGTGTGTGTCCCACAATTTTACTGATGGCAAATTTAAACAGACTGAGGCTTTGTGTAAATTTTTTGTTTGATTTGCGCGGGGCTCTTAATCATCCGGATACTTGAGATTCGTTTTACGTGCTTGTCAATATCGAAATCTGCGTGGGATTCGATGAAAAAACCCTGTAAAAATTTATGACAATATGGTAAAATCGCGCGATAAGGCAAATGAGAGGATGGATTAGAAGTAGCAGACCTTTGGAAATTTGAGCACAGCATCGTTTTCTCATTTCTGGGTCGCCGAAGTGTAGGCAAAAAATGAGGCTTCAAACTTTATTTAACTTATTTAGGCACGGTGAGACATCTCGGCACATCAAAGAAAGGCTTGATGCCGACAGTCACCCCAGCAGAACTCGAGGATCTTGCGCAGCTCAGGAAGCAACGTCTTATCGATGCGCTTTCACTTTACAAGTTGTATGCCGATGCTGATTCTGTCGAAGCCTGGATTGATGAGAAGGTATTGTTGTAGACGTTCTATCAAACAAAATAGGACTTTTCATTTGTAATTTCAGGCCAAACTGTCAGCGACGCTTGTCCTGGACAAAGACTTGAAGAGTTAATGATGAAGCACGCTTCGACTCGGCCGACCAGGACTAAGTGAAATCAGAAGCTTAAGGTTGTTATTTCAAAAACAATTATTGGTTTGTTTTGTTTAAAAATTAGAAGGTTTTCCTCGCAAGTCCTTTGAGTCTGAAGCGTACGGAGGTTCAAGGTTGAACAGTATGAACGAATGCCTCGCCAACTGTTGCATGTGCAGCAATCCAAATGCGGGAATGACATATATGGCATCCAAAAATAGCTCATGCGCGTTGGCTAAACTTTCGGCGATAATGTCCGAATCAGATGAAAGCTGAACTTTGAACAGTGCGCTCACCGTCTGAGGACCCTTTCAGGGTACGCTCTATTATATTCAGGATATGAATGCATTATCTTTCTTATTGGCAACTGTTTGTCAATAAAATGCACATGCTTATTGAAATTTTTAGGATCGACTGTCAGGAAACAGTTACATGGATTGAAGATAAAACTCGTGTACTTGAAGACTCTGACGCTCTCACCAATGATCTCAGTGGTGTAATGAAACTCCAACGAAGGTGATCTTTCGACTTCTCCATGTATTTGTTCATATAACCAAAAATCGCAAAAAAAATGGTGCTGATTTGCAGGCTTTCAATGATGGAGCGAGATCTCGGGGCCATCCAAGCCAAACTAGATGCACTCCATAAGGAAGCCGACTCAATAGAACGAGAACGTCCTTCTGAGGCGCAAGCAATTCGTGAAGACATTAAACGTATCCACCATGTAGGTTTTTGGGAACCTCTCCTTTCCAAATCTTCTGTCTTCGGAAGAATTCCTCTTTCAATTTAAGGTGTGGGATATTCTCAATAAGAAAGTCCGCGAGCATGAAGCGAAGCTCGACGAGGCTGGTGACTTGCAACGATTCCTTCGTGATTTGGACCACTTCCAAGCATGGCTTACAGCTACACAGCGACAAGTGAGTGACTTCAAGTAACAGTAGTAGATTGAGCCAAACTAATCTGTTTCGTCGGGCTATTTGAATCAAAATCCTTACGTGCACGATAACTAGTCGGATCCTCGTTGCGACTCTTCTTAACTAGGTTTAGATGTGCATGGCTGGCAGATTTCAGTAGTTATCTTGCAGTACTTTTGGCGCTTTTTCGACTGGACTGTCCGTTGCTGGCGCAGGTCGTCTGATAGAAATATCGATAGTTACGTTACCTGGCACGAGTATACGGTAATTAGGCATGGGCGCGTTCACGCTGAATAGGCGCTATTTCTTGCGGCTGAGAGTAGAGATAGAGAATTAGAGGAAATGTTCATCGTTGTGCAATACAGATGACTAAAGAATTGATGGATGTTATTGATTGGTGGAGGGCTGAGGGCGTGCCGCAGCAATTGCATGATCCTTGGTCTTCGTTCTAATTTGCGCATCTCAGGACTTGTATTTGAGACATATAGATCAATGTATGTGCAAAAATATGTTTCTTCTCAATGACACCCATTCAGGTTGCTTCGGAGGAATCGAGCCACGAGTCGGTTAGCGGAGGCTGCGCAGCTGCCTCAAGCAACAACGCTGTGGCCTATTAGCAGACGAAATGTAATGGATATCTGGAGGTATTACAAGAAGATGCGGCGCTATGTGAGATCGTGTTCAGCCCAAGATCAGAACTGATTCCACCAGTAAGTTTCGAGTGTGATACGAATCATTTTTTATTGCATTGATTATGCTGCAGTGAGTCAATGGTAGAAGGTTCCATTTTTCAGGTACATGTTCCTGCGCCAGCGACTTGTTGGCTTGCAAGAAGGTTGGGAAGAGCTTCAGCGTATGTGGGATAACCGACAACATCTTCTCAGTCAAGGACTCAATCTACAGGTCAGCCTAATAATTTTGTAACATGTAGTTTTTTTCTTTGGGAAAAACGCATTTTTTCCCACGGCGGCTGGAGAAAACATCGGAAAGTAATTTTCCAGATGTTCTTGCGTGACGCCAAACAGGCTGAGGTTATGCTCTCGCAGCAGGAGAATTACCTCACCAAAGACGAAGCTCCAAGCAGCTTAGAGCAGGCCGAGAACATGCTCAAGAGGCACCAGGTTCGTGAATTTCAGTCCCGATTTTTGATGGGGTGTTCACTGTAATGTTATATTTTCTATATCATTCGAACAATATAAATAGAAGATTACAACCTTAGACTTCATGACAACTATGGATCGCCAACGACTGAGAAGTATTCGTCGCCGTCGAATGTTTGGAGGATCCCACTGTGCATAGATGGAGCGTTATCGTCCGATAAGGGACTGTGAAAGTTTTTTCCAAAAGCACTAGCGCATTAGTTTTTATATACTCTTGTTGTTTTTAGATTCATAAGAAGGCTCGTAATATCGATGAACGTCGTGAGGCGAACCGTGAACGGGCGCAGGCGTTGCTCGCGAAATGTGAAGATGCACTCGCGTTGCAACAGTTCCTTTCTGACTGTGAAGAATTGCGTGAATGGATCGAAGAGAAGATGATTCGTGCCCAAGATGAGACCTACAGGTGCCGTTTTCTTTTTAGGCCTAAAATCGTTTGATATTACGAAGTCAGTGTATACGAGCGTTATCTTCTGATTATCCGAGTACTATGAATCGCTTATGTGCTAACTCGAAGAATAACTTCGCGAATATACTTCGATATTGTCGAGTCCTGTAGTTCACTATTTTATTTACCCCACAATTTGCAAAGTCAATCTAGCGAGTTGCTAAGTAAATATTCTGTGATTGCAAGAGATCAAAGACATATCACGCTGTCGAAATCGTACGTCACACCTAGCCTTTTCCCAAAGTGAATTACAATGTATTATTAATTTCATTAGATCATTTTCACGCTTGAAATCTAATTTTTTTTCGTGTGATTTCGCAGGACCGCCTTGACCAGCTTTGCAAACATGCCGCTATCGACTTGGGCGCTGAGAAGCCTGAATTCACAGGCACCATTGACCCCCAAATCGTAGAACTTGCTCATCAATGGGAACAACTGGAGAAGACCACCGAAGAAAAGGGCCAGAAACTGTTTGATGCCAACCGACAACAACTATATGTGCAGAGCATTGCTGACATGAAGGTGCGTTTATTAGCAGTGTCATGCATGTCACAAAAGATTCACAGCATTGATCTTTGCAGGAATGGGCTCGCCAGTGGAGAAGGATATGTCCGAGAAGATCCATGCTCTGACTGACCTCACCGAACTTGTAAATGCGTGGCGAATTCAGAAGCAGACAAATGATCCGAGGACAGAAATGATCAAGAAGTGCGAGTTTTATCTACTACCTAGATTTTTCGAGAATCTGAACCTCATACTTGTCCGATTTAGAGCCCAGCACATCGATCAACTTATGGAGATGGAACCACAATTGGAAGAGATGCACCCAGATGAGCTAGAGGATATTCGCGCTCATAGGCTGGCTGTACAGGACAGCTCCAGAGGTCTAGGATTTATTAACTATGCCGCAATATTAGAAAGAGGTCAAGTGATACCTTGTTTACAGACTGCAAGCTCCCTCTTGGCGATCGCAGACGTCAGTTGGAGCGCAAAAAGGCAGCCTTCCAATTCGGACGTGACGTTGATGACGAGAAACTATGGATCGCTGAGCGCCTGCACTTGGCCCATGCGAAACAACTAGGAGGAGCCTTAAACAATTGTCCAAAGATGGTGATCAATTGCTGTCGGAAAATATTCCTGGTTCGTCTAGTTTTCACTTGATTTTTAGATGATAAAGGATGCTCACTTTGAACATTCCCCTTTCAGGATCGGATAACATCCCACCTCGTATCCAGGAGATTCGCGACTATCTGAGAAAACTTCGCGATCTTGCTAATGCGAGGCGCCAGAGACTCGCTGGAGGCGTCGACTATTACCAGGTTTGTTTTATGAGTCTTAGAGTGGTATACGCTGGGATGAAATATCTTAAAATTCCAATATATTTTAGTTCTTCACTCACGCTGATGACGTCGATGCGTATCTTCTTGATACTCTACGACTGGTTTCGAGCGATGACGTCGGTAAGGACGAAGGCACCGTGCAGCTGCTTCTCAGAAAGCACGACGACGTAACTGATGAGCTGAAAGGCTTCGACACGCACATCAAACAGCTCTATCAGAAGGCTGAAGCGCTGCCACCCGATGTACGCTTACCACTTTCTTTTTTCACATGTCTTGTGGTTTCTGATATTCCTAGTCACTCTTCGGAAAAAGCAACAACCCAGAATGAGATCGTAAGGATTAATCCGTCCTGAGAGCATCCTGATGCGGCCGTATTTGAAAAAAAACCCTTCCAGACAGGCCCTATCCTCATCCCGAGGAGGAAGAGTGGTAGTCCTTGTTAAGGGCTTCAACAGCAGTTTCTTTTGCTTGTCTCCTTTTCCAGTCAAGTCCTCACTCCTATCTTCTTTATCGAGCGCTGCAACCCCTCTAACGTGATCCTGGGTTGTTGCTTTTAATATGTTTTTTTTTCTTTAACCGTGGTAAATTACGCGACATAGCGGGTTCAAACAATTTTTTCGAAATATTTTTATGGCTATTTGGAATGTTCAGGTCGATGAAAAGGAGAATGTGGTGATTCTTCAGTACATTTCTCATATTAGCTTATTTTTTTAGGAATTTATGACCATAGCCCACTACCACTAACATTTTCGCTTTTTGGGGAACGGTTTCACTAGTTATACGTGGTTTTCTAATATATTCGATGTTGCTTTATACTATTTGCTATTGCAAGCAACTCACAGGTCACTTCGAAAGTTTCAGGTCTTTCGAAGTTATGAATGTAGCAGCTTTTCGGTGAAACGAGTCTAGGCAGAAAAAATGAAGTTTTCTGAAGTAAAAAGTTTTGTGAAGTACAAATAATGCTACAAAATATTTAATATCAGCATGGCATTACTCAACTAGAATAGTCTCGTTCGACCACAATTTTTTCGCCACCATAGACTTCACAAACGTTATTGGTGATTTCTTTGGCCTTGCATCCCAGTTCCTATGGAGAGTGCAACTGCAAAGTTTTCCATACTCGTCCGTCAGCTTGATCTTCACAAAATAGTTGGAATTTGGGCGCTCATAACCTTAAGGGATATCCAAGTGAGTGAGCCAATTTCTGTGCTTGGGACTAAGCTTCAAAAAAGGGAAAGGAATCCTGTGGGAGCATGTGAGCAATGTGTTCTCCCTGGCGTTTCTCTCCCTTTGCTGGGCTTGGTCCTAGTCTCACCTACCATCGGCCCTGTTTTATGCCTCCCCTACCCCCTCTTCCGCCTCTTCCTCCCCCAGGGCATAAGAGCTGAATTTTATATAAAAGTGTGACAAGGAAGGCGGGTTCTGATGTAAAATAACAGTGGAAAATCAAGTTGCTACATATATAAGTTTGAAAATCGAGAAGCTTTTGAAATGACCTGTTATTGTGTCCGAAGTTTGCTTATGCCCTGGCTGCTTTTAGAACTGGATAATGTAGCAAGCGATATGTTATTGGTTCCTTTTTTTATCGAAAATTGCGTCCCCATTTGCTGATTGCTTACCGACTGTAAGTACTTGTCAAATAATACACTTCTGATTTCAGCCAGTCTCTAATCTGACGACATTGCGCCCATCTTATAGACGTCAGAGATAGGCTTCAAAAGCGCAATGCTTAGCTCGAACCCGATTAGTTAAGTAATACATTGGAGAAGCGTCAAAAAGAAAAAATGCTGTTGTCAGGGACTGCCAAGGTTTGAAACCCTTGTTCCCTATTCCGTGTTTTCCCTTCAATGCGTATAGCAGATCTAATACTTGTTTTTTAACATCTTCTTTTTCGCGGTCAACCCAGCATTTTATCTTTCGTGGTTGGCAGAGCCAAAAATCTTCCGAGTTCCGCGACCGCAAACGGTCAGATGGCAAGCGGCTACCTGTGGTGAACAGCCGTAGTTGAACGGAGCGTAGCGCTAATCTTGTCAGCAGAGGTTTCATCTTAATCTTAATATTATTTTTTGGTTTCGTTGCATTTTCCGTGTAACCGTCTTGCTGATTTTCGTAAAACGTGAGTCTCCGTTAAGAGAGGACATGTACTTTGTCAATATCAGAACTAGCTTGATCTAGCTGTTGGCTCAGCGAAAACCACTCGAAAAGAACCGAAGACTAAATGCCATTCCTGAGTGGATGATCGGCTGGAGTACTTGAGCCGCATTAAGGATCAGGAGCCGCGTAACGTTGGAATCTACATATTTTTATAGCAGTAGAGCACAAAGTACTTTAATCGACGTCTTTTAGTATTAGTTTCCAGATTTCAATCACCCTATTCCAGATGAGTTTTTTCAGGTTATCAGTTCCCAGCTACCCGGCAAAGATATTGTGACACGAGCACTCGTCCTAGGGCAAACATAAGAACCGCGAGAATAACTCAACGAAATTGAACGCCAATTGGAACCAATCTCAATGATAGGTAAGGGAGCCGATTTGAAGCTCTTTGTAGAGATGATTAAACTTCTGAATGTTATTCTTCAGAAAATTCCACAATTCATTGCACGGAGTGCAGGAACAGCTCGCTGAGTTCAACGCATATCGAACGCAGGAGAAGCCTCCAAAGTGAGTCTCATGCATCATTTTGATTGTCGTTTCCCCTAGTGCATTTAAGTGTTAGGAGCTCATCGTTGTGAATTGAGGTTCGAAGAAAAAGGTGAGCTGGAGGTGCTCTTATTCACCCTGCAGTCAGCGATGCGCGCCAACAATCAGCGCCCATTTGTGCCTCGTGAAGGAAAACTGATCGGAGATATCAACAGGGTAGGTGTTAGACTGAAGCTCCTTTATGCTGGCATAGATCATCAGTAGAAAAGTGGTTATGGCAACAAATAAGTTGTTTCTTGATAGCATTTTCTTAATGTTGTGTATAACTATGGCATCGATTTTTGAATTTTTTTCTGGTTATTTACAAGATGCTCCATGATGAAGTAAGGATGAACAAGGTAACGGAATCATTTTTCAGGCGTGGGACACGTTGGAGAAGGCAGAGCATGAACGTGAGCTTGCTCTCAAAGAGGAGCTAATCCGGCAAGAGAAACTTGAGCAGCTTGCTGCTCGATTCAACCGCAAGGCAGAGATGAGGGAGACCTGGCTTACCGAAAACCAGCGTCTTGTCAGTCAAGACAACTTCGGATCAGATCTCGCTAGTGTTGAGGTAATCCAAAGTTTTCGCTCTGTGCAAAAATGAATAACCGTTTTGCAAACAATATTATGCTAACAATGCTATCCATCGTTTAGGCCGCTACAAAGAAGCACGAGGCCATTGAAACAGACATTTTCGCATACGAAGAACGTGTACAAGCAGTTGTTGCTGTTGCAGGTTCGTTGTCTAAACAATATTGTTTACTTCTTCCTTTTTCCACCACCTTATCTATTATATAAGCCCAAATCTGTTGATGATTTTATGATTATTGGTCGAAATTTAGGAGAACTTGAGGCTGAGAACTTCCATGGAATTGATGAGATCAATAACAGGAAAGAAAATGTGCTCAAGCTTTGGAATTACCTATTCCAGGTTTGTTCAAGCCAGTTTGCTACAGCATTTTGATTACCTTAGGTCTGTATTGAGTGAACCAAGTCGATTAGAGTAAGGCTTTTTTCAGCTCCTTCTTGCTCGTCGTGTCAGGCTTGAGCTGTCTATGGCGATCCAGCGCATATTCCATGATATGCTTCTTACATTGGACCTTATGGATGATATGCGATGGTTTGGCGTTCAACGCTCTCATTCACAAGCACCGCCCAGACTTGATCGACTACGACAATTTGCAAAAGTCGAACGCTGTGTATAACCTACAAAACGCTTTCGATACTGCTGAGCAACAACTAGGCCTTTCGAAATTCCTGGATGCGAAGGTTAGTAAAAAAGAGGATCGAGAGAGGAAATTGAGAAGCAGGAGCTTAATTCTCAATTTTAGACGTTAATGTCCGCGATCCGGATGAGAAGTCCATCATCACCTATGTTGTTACTTACTACCACTACTTCAACAAGTTGAAGCAGGAGACTATTCAAGGGAAACGTATTGGAAAGGTTTGAGTTATTATTTTTTTAAGAAAACACAGAGATTGGTGCATTCGAACGAGATTGAATTATTCAGGTTATCAACGAACTCATGGAGAACGAGAAGATGATTAACCGTTATGAAACTATTTCTTCTGATCTCTTAGAGTGGATTAAGCCATATTTTTCTCTTTTTCTTCTGTCACGTCGAACTGGACTTTTTTTGTTTTCTTGAAGTTTTCTGAACCTTTTCTTTTGAGGCGAAGATATTAGAATTTATTTTTGAGGGATTCCATTTTTATCGCTTCATCTTTATAAATGATGATTAGGTTATTTATGACACTGAAGGGAATTCATTGGTGGATTCATGATGATCATTTGTTTACAGAAGAACGAGAGCACGTGCAGAAGAAAACGTTCACGAAATGGGTAAACTCTCATCTAGTCAGAGTCAGCTGCAAGATTCAGGATCTCTATATGGATATGCGAGACGGAAAAATGTTGCTAAAACTATTAGAAGTTTTATCCGGGGAACGCCTGGTTAGTTTCAGATTCAACTTGTTTTTGGTTTTGTTTTCGCTCAACTTCGTTGGTCCGTGGTTTCAAAAATGTTTCTTGAATTTGGGGAGAGTTCTGAACAGAATCGATGATGAGTGATGCCGTTAGCAAGTGTTTATGGGTCATTCATTCATGATTTTATGCTCTTGAAAGTTTATGTCTCCAATCTCAACGGTGACTTTGTGGTTAATCGATGTGCACGCGAACGAGGAGTAGGATTCAGAATAGGGGCAATGAAAAAACCATTCTTGACCTAGCTTTTTTTGGTAAAGTACCTTGGTGTGAAATAGAGGTCGTATGCATTCGAAAGTTTTTTGGTGATTTTTTTAAATAGTCGTAGTTTGCGCTGATTCAATTCAAAGATCGCCTGGGGGTCTTTTTTGGATTTGGTAGAGACTCAATTTTGGTAGAGTCGAATTCTTTCTAAATTTTGGTATTTTATTTTTCTGCATGGTTTATGGTGTCTTTCCAAGTGATTGGTGGAGAGCATCATGGAATTGCTCTTGGTGGCTCTTTTTGTTCCTACTGCGGTGTCGCCTATGCTTCCCATGGGGATTATTAATCAAACGTTGAGACGGGAGGGAGATTGCAATACGCATTTCGAACAGAATGACGATTGACAAACGATGATTTTGTATACGGAAATAGGCTATCATTTCGGAATTTATCCATAGTGTTGGTATTTTTGTGTGTGTGTTAAATTGAATGCTTGGTGATGAAACTGTATTCCTCCCAAACATCAGAATTCATATTTAAACTTTTTAATTCGATCAATTTGAAACGTCGAAGTGAAAACTAAATTTGTTTTGTTTTAACGCTACGATGTGATGATTGCTGTTTTTTTTTCTCAAATTAGCTACCATTTAAGCCCATTGAGAAACATACGTCGAAAATGAAGGCACATTCAGCGTCGCTCGTGATTCATAGGGAGAGAGACTTTTTACCATGCTCGTTAACTGCAGTGTGGCGAAATGTGGATTTTATTCTTTTCAGCCGAAGCCTACCCGTGGAAAAATGCGCATCCATTGTCTCGAGAATGTCGACAAAGGCTTGCAGTTTCTCAAAGACCAGCATGTACACTTGGAGAATCTTGGCTGTCACGACATCGTCGATGGGAACCCTCGCCTAACCCTAGGTCTGATCTGGACCATCATTTTGCGATTCCAGGTGACCTTTTTGTCGTTTCTTTTGATTCGTTACTGAGGTTTTATTCAAATTGATGCACATTTTATTTTCTGGAGTTATTTACAGATCCAAGATATTACCTTCGAAGACGCTGACAACCATGAGACGCGATCCGCCAAGGAGGCGCTGCTACTTTGGTGCCAGATGAAGACCGCTGGCTATCCAAATGTGAATGTCAGAAACTTCACTACAAGGTAAGTGCTGGTGGCATTCATTCTATGGCCAGTACAGAAGAATACATCCTGTGATAGGAAGTTAGGAAAGGATTTTACTGGCATCGAGTGTGTTCTGTTGCAGTTGGTACCAATTTCCATTCTTCCCATAATAGGAGAAGAAATCCAGGAGAAAAGGTCTGACTCACAAAAGGCAGGCGCTCGTTGCTGCAGTCTTTGTCGGTGATTCTTTCTGTGCCAGTGAACGATCGCGGAGCACGGCCATAATCTGTGCGTGAATTGTGGAAAAACTGAAGCATCTAAGAACACTGATAACAAGACAGTTGATAACATGGAGCTAGTGGCTTAACGGTGCCATGGAATCGACTGTATCTTCTCCCTAGAATCGACCCCGACACGAACGAAGACGAGCTTCTCCATTTATTCAATGATACCGCAGCTACAGGCTGCCCAGTTCCTCCAACACCTAGTCCTAGCCTGGAGGTGTTCATCCAAGCAAGAGATGTTTCTGCTGAATTACGATCTCCCGGAGTCTATCCTGGCTCGCCAGGAGCTCTGGAAGAACAGCGGAAGAGAGTTGAAAGCGCTCGCGGAAACCGAACTCATTCCTCAACAGCGTCAGCGGTATTGCTTGATGATCTAGTTGGGAAGAAATCGAATGAGATCGATTTGAGAGTCCGTGGTCTCAAAGGTTTTTAATTTTGATTCACTGGCCGCGACGCGACCGCAGTCGCTAGCGAATCGCGCGGTTCGCAAAGTCTAACATCGGCCGTAGTGGGACAGAGACGCTTCTTCTACACGTGGTTTCGTTTGCCTTTCTTCCCTTTTCTTTTTTTCATGTAGTTTTATTCTGCTTTTCCTTCCGCATCGAGGTTATCACCTAATATGTATATTCTCAAATGCTGGTAAGAAGATTGTGACACGAAACACGAAAATGCACGAAAGTGAAATTTGGAAGGGGGCTACTCCTCAAAAAAAGGGAAAACTGGTCGAAGAGCCAAGATTGAGTGAAGGGTGCAACAGATCAAGAGTCCTGCTTGCAAAAGTTCATGAGCGTTTGTGATAAGGCGCTATCTGAAGGCTTTATCTGAAGGATGTTGGTATTTGCAAGCAGCAGCACAGTTCCCTCTTACTCTTCATTATTGCCTGTAGAAGTTATAAAATTCGTAGCTCTGAGTAACTCCTTAATGTATCAGCGCGTTTGTGTGGACGGAATGTACTTAGTGGTCTGTTATATTGTTTACATAGTGTTGATGAATGCCTCACATATGTGGGTCGCCAAGTTTGCACTGCGGGTCAATAACCGAGGCATGCCACACGGGCGCTCGCGAGTGGCTGAAGTGGTTCTTTCAACGCCAGAATATCACGTAGGGGTGTGCTCTATATGGTCAGTATTCTAGTAGGAGTTGTGAAGGGTGAAGCTCGCCTTGGGACCAGGCTGCTCGCAGCTGCTGCTCCTTTGAAAGACTTGAAGTGCTCTTGTGGGAAGTGGTGTTTTTACGTAATTCGTGAAGGAATTCTCGGGTGGAGAGAGTGGTCTTTACTCTCCACAAGTAGTATTCAATTGTTTCTAGGAGGTGAAGCTTCTTTCACAAGTGTCTAGTTCCGACGTGCGCCAATTCCATTCATCGATCAACATTGACACTTTTCTGATGAATAACTGAGGGGTTGCTTTTGATCAACATTACAACAGCGTGAGTGGCGGGGTTACACATATCCCATTAAAGCCTGCTATAATTAGTGCAGTTATTGACAAGGGGTTGAAATCACACCAACACCGGGGTTTTTCATTGTGCAATCTCACAAGCGAACAAAGGGTTGTGAAGGCGGGTTTGAGTGATTCAGTAGTACCCGCGCAATACGCCTAGGGCGGATGGTTCTCAGTTGGAGTGGTCAAGTATTGTGTCGATATGGCCATCATTGCCCATCATAGCCAAACAGGGGTTGGTCTAGAGCATCTTTTATTTTCTTCGTGCTCTTGATATTATGATTTAAGTGTGCGGCTTGTGGTGATGGTATTGAAACCGTGTTTGCGTAGCGATTGTACATCAACCACATTACTTTTTTTTGAAAAAAAAATGAAGTGGAATTTTGATATCAAGATTGTGAAAGACAAAAAGATGCTCCTGACCGTTTCCAGCTTGGCTATGCTGGGTAGTAAACCCATATCGATATGATACTTATAATTTCTTTAACCCTGCAGAATTGTTATATAGTTCAAGTAGTTATGTCTATAAGTTGAGGTAGAATAGGGCTCTTAAAAGATCAACGTCTCTACAATTATACATTGCAACCTTTGAAACGTTGTTCAGCAAGTCCTCATATTTGCATGTACCGCACAACTGGTCTCTATTGACTTGACTAGAATGTGGAAGCTCTCATTTGTTTATTAGTGGCTGTCGCGCGCTGGAGGAATTAATCCTCAGCGGTTGATTCCGCGGTCGCCATTAACCCTCGCGCTCAGTTCACGCGTTTGATTGCCGGTTCGGCAACGGGCGCTGTAACAAGCCGCATACGAGGCTATTGTGCTCGGCTCTCCCACTAATGAGTGGAACGCTGCCTGACTATTGAACACCAAGTGGAAAATATCCGCGAGTTGAGGTCACCGTCAATTCTACGATGACCGCAGTCTTCTGAATTTTACGACCTAAGTGCAAAGGTGGATGAAAAACCATACTTTTATATACGAAAAACGAGCTGTAAGTTGGTATTTCTAATAGTGAATTAATCATCGAAGGAGACCTTTTCATTTCACCTCGAGCTTACTTTATTTTTGGAAGCAAACCCAAAAAAGAAAAGGTTAAATTAGGCGTAGGCCGATGTCAGACTTAGCGAATCGCGCGATTCGCTAGCGTCCGCGGTCGCGTTGCGGTACCAGCCAA